TAGTAGTAGTACGTAGTAGTAGTAGTAGTAGTAGTAGTACGTACGTTACGTTACGTTACGTTACGTTACGTTAACGTTAACGTTAACGTTAACGTTAACGTTAACGTTAAGTAACGTAAGTAAGTAGAGAGAGAGAGAGAGAGAGAGAGAGAGAGAGAGAGAGAGAGTAGTTCATCTTGTCCTCTTACCCCTTTGGAGAGCCAGCCTTTGAGAAACAATGGAAGCAGAGGAGACTGCATTCAAAGAAGATGACTCTTGAGTGGTAGGATTCTGGGTTGCCGAGGGCTCAGAGGGAATGGTGCATGCAAACTTGTGTCATGGGTTGAAGATGTATTGGTCATCAGAAAGACCGACCTATAGAGCTACATAATTAATCCATTGTTATTCACGCAAAAATAAATAAATCCATTGTTAAGGACAGGGGGCACCTGATAAGGGATCCCCGGTAAATGGCACTTGCGGACCTCAGGGCCAATCAGCTGAGGACCTTGATTCCATATTAGAACAGGAGGAACCCCGTTATATGACATACATAAACCTCGATTCTTTAACCAAGAGAACTTGTACTAACTCTACTTAGAACCTCATTTTTTTGTATATTGCAGCTTAGATTCTTGCTAGTCAAAACATCAAACCCATTTACATCAGATCTTGCTCCCATAAATATAAGGATCTCGTTCCTTGTGTTGTTTATTGTATGGATGCCGATCCTAACACCAGGGAGCTTCCACTATAGGGCGGTTCGGTGAATCCTAAACCGATCCCACTCCCGCCTCTAACAACTATGATATGAAACAATCACAAAGAATCTTGGGTGCTCCTTGATAGATTGTTGTCGCTAGCGGTCCAACCAAATGGATCACCCCAAACAGACATCGGAGTGAAAAGACATGCATCCGGGAAACAGTCTGCATCAAAGAGGTTTATATAAGCAATGAAAGTTGGGGTGTGGTCTCATAGGTGGTTAAGAGGAGCAGGGGACAAATCATTGGCTTGATCTATGTACTGAAATGGGGGAGATGATTATGCAGGATTTGCAACTGTTTCATGATGTGGTGGGTCGTCTTGTTGTTCAACCCCCATTTTCCTCTGATGGACCTATAGAAATAATGCAAGCAGGTCACAAAAGAGAGAAACATACAAAAGAGAATAAAATACAAAGAGTTAGATGAAAAGTAGGTTGGAATAGGTACAAGAGTCGATGAACTGGGTAGAAGAGGAGCCAAACATTATGATATCAGTTTGAAAACATGTTGCGTAGAATAGTCCCAAAAAACATTAGAATAATTTCTTACCACATGAAAATTAGCAGTGCCAACCTCTCTGTGTTTCACTGAGAGCCTAAGGAGTTAATTCCGCATATATCTGGGGTGCCATTGCTTGTGCAATTTGTTGAGTGAGCTACGGAGAAGCGTAAGAGGTAGGTGAAAAATCTATCTTACCCTAATACTAGAGAATTGGCCTGAATAGTAGATCTAGAGTATTTGACATGTTGTTCTTAAGCTTGCATGCAGAGAGCAACTCGAGGGAAGAAATATGCACCAACAATTAAGGAAAAATTGAATTTTTTGCTCTACATTGCCTAAAACCAAAAGGCATGAAAATGGTGATGAAGATATAAAATCAAGGCGATGGCTGATGGGACCATGGAAAGGCATAGTGCTAAGAGGAATGTTTATGACCAGAAAGAGACATTTTCTCTACATGGTGACAGTGTGCACACATAGCTATACCTACTTTTTAGGCTAGATTTTCCATTCGATAGTAATGAAGAATGCGTTCCTCTTGTTGTTATTTATGAGTTATACATGAAGTTCCTGAATTTATTGATTCCAGTCTCAAATAGCTTTATAAATATGTGTATATGATCATATGGTCTGAAACAGGTTCTTGGAGTTCCATTTGTGACTACAAACTGCATTTATCCTGTCATAATTCTGTCAAACTTAATTGAATGGCTTACCCATGTGCTTGCACACATCCTGCAGATATAGCATCCTTGTCATGCCAGTGGTTTCAATGTCTCAATCCCTTTCGAGATGACTTGAATTACTGTTTCAGATGGAGCTTGGTTTTACTTGATTGGGATAAGAACTTAGGTTGTCTAGATGAGAATGTCTTATATGTTTATGATCTCATCACCAGAGATCATCTTATGGGAAGAGATAGGAGGTATCCTACTTACTGGAATTATTTCAAATAAGTAGAGAGAATTTGATATTATTTGTTAGTATCCTAAAACAATCTAGTCAATGTTGTAATGTTTGAAGTTTGGAATTATTTCTGTGATATATTTCAAGTATTTGATTTACAAAGTACATAATTTTAGAATTTGGAAATGTATGGTATTGTAATAGAAGATCGGTTAGTTTAGATTTCACAAGTACAGAGAGAGAGATTGGGTTTGGTTTGCATATGGAAATGCTTTCATGTGTGAGGACTCATACATAAGGTTTAAATTTGTGAAGTTCAAACATGGGTCACACATGATCTGCGCAATTGTTTAATTAGGCTTTGTTGAGTCCTGAAGGCAATGTTGTCAGTTTTTCTAATCACATGTTGCACCTAAGAAAGGATGACAACTTCCAAAGTGATCGTAGTAATAATTTGAAAGGACTTGTTGATCCTTAGTGGCTATCAATTAATAAGTAAACCGATATTTTCTTAAACTTGATCATTTTGATGGAATTAATTTTGAAATGTGGTATATACCAGAATTTGTTCATGTTCAAATATTTTAAATTGGTGTATTGATTATCCTCCACTTGTAGACCATCACCGATGTGTACAAAAAAGAAGAGGAAAACAATAGGCAAAGTGGGAGGATGCTGATATCAAACACTAGGCAACTGACTGTAAAGAACTTACGGGATTCATTGTAAGTATTTGTAATAGAGGATGCAGGAAGTAAGAAATTTTTATGCAATCA